AAGTGCATTTGTCAAATCTGAGCAGTTGACATTGGTACCTAACTATTAAATAAACTCCAAACTTGATTTCGATTTTGCCACATTTTCCATTAATATCCTCTTTTTGCTCTAGAACCCCAATCCAGACTCCCAGTCCGGGCTCCCACAGTGCATTCAGTTGTTACATTTCCCCACTCTCCTCTGGCCTGTGACAGTTTCTTAGTCTTCCTTGTTTTTCATGACCTTGGCAGTTTTGAGGAGTACCTATCCCACCTGGGCGCATGGGAATTAAGCTCCATCTTCTGCAAGGGGGAAGTATCTGCATACACTATTTAAAGTTCTGCATGGAAGATTTGTTTCTTCCCATTTATGTATTCAGTCATTTATTTATATCAATATGAATGCATGGATATTTATTTTATACTTTGGATTATAATCCAATACAGTGTTATTTGTTTTGTTGCTGAATTGGCTCCAGCTTTGGAAGCTCCTTCAGGTTGGTTCCTGTGTCCTTTGACACCCCCCCCCCCCATTCTTTTGTTTTTGAGCATTTCCTTACTTTCTGGTACTTTAAGATGCTCCAGGTTCATTTTTTGTTTTTTTCTGCCCCAGCCCTAGAATTAGTCATTTTTCAAGGAGCCCCCTCTGTACTTCTCCAGGGTTTTTTTAAAAATCCAGGCCCTTGGACTTCATGCTGGACCTAGGGGATACATCTCTGGGCAAAATCTAGGTACAGGCATTTTAATAAGTTCCCATGTTGGTTATCATTACGCTGCAGTAAGCTTGTTGTGTGATCCTTGGTAGACAGGTAAACAAAATAGGTCAGATGTTAGGAATATTCTGGGGGTCCATGTGAATGGCTCCCAGAATCAGAGTTGGAAAAGATTTTAGGGGTCTTTTTTTAAGGTAATTTATTCATTCATTTACCCTTTCATGGATTCAAACAGAAGTTATGCGGCCCACAGTCCTGCTACTGTGGAACTGACAGTGGAGGGGAGAGAATTACTAAAACTAAGTCAACCAGCAGACACATGTTACTGCAGCGATTTATTTGGAGTACCCCAAAATGAGAGGTTATTTGCTCTTAGCTTGAACTCAGAGAACACATAACTAGAAACATCACTTTGTTTCTTTAAAGAAAAGCATTAGGGGGTTCTGTCTCCTTTTCAAGACTAAAAAAACCAATGTGTACTCCTAAATGTCAGTGCCCAGGCTGCGTGCAGAGCAAGTCCTCTCCAGAACAAGAAAGGCAAATGTGGACTTGGGGACTGGCTAGGGTCCTACCACCATGGTAGCGTCTTCTGTTTCCTTTCCGTTCTTTCCCCCCAGACATGGAAACTACAAACTTGACAGTTTGGAAACCAAAACCCTTTATATCCCATTGTTGTTTAACACTCAAAGACATGGAGAGCAAAGGAAAGAGGCTTAGTAAGAAGAAGGAAGGATATAAAATATTTGCTTACCAAATATTTTGCTTACCAAGTTTTAAACACAGATTACTGTGTAATCATTTAGTAGGTGAAGATCTTTCTCATTCTGTCAGAAATGTAGTAGTTCACTGCTTCCGGAATCAGCACTGTTCTTGCCTTCTGAGAAGAGAGCTGGGAAGGTTGCATTTTCCTGTCCAGCATCGTGGGAGCTGGATGGATAGCATGGAAGCTGAGGCTGTGCAGGTGGCATGGTCTGGCTGCTCTGCAAATGCCTTTGGGGACTGGGGGGTACACATGTGCTAAGCATGGAATCAGAGGATGACTTGGATTTCCATCTGTGGAAACAGACCACTGACGCTGTCCCATTCTCTCCCCAGCTTCTTCCTGGAGAAGAATATGTTTGTTTTCTTCTTGAACATCCTGCGGCAGAAATCAGGCCGCTATGTGTGCGTTCAGCTGTTGCAGACCTTGAACATCCTCTTTGAGAATATCAGTCACGAGACCTCACTTTGTAAGGACAATCCTTGACACCTGCCTCTGCACTGCTGAGAGTTGGCCGCGTGTAATTTGGCATGGTTTTTGTGTTGTTTTTCAAATGTCTGTGTTTGCCATATATCTTAGTGTACTTGGGCTGCTGTGACAAAGTATCCCAGACTGGGTGGCTTAGACAACAGAAATTTATTTTCTGGAGGCTGGAAATCCAAGATGTGCCTTCAATGTTGGTTTCTGGTGAGGTCTCTCTTCCTGGTTTGCAGATCGCTGTCTTTTCATTGTGTCCTCATATGATCTTTCTTTGTGCACACACTGCAAGTTCTGGTGTCTCTTCCTTTTCTTTCCTTTTTTGTTAATCCTCACTTGAGGATTTTTTCCATTGATTTTTTTAGAAAGAGTGGTAGGGAAATGGAGAGAGAGAGAGAGACATCAATGTTTCACACACACCCAACTGGGCCAGGAATTGAACCTGCAACCCAGGTACGGACCCTTGACCAGGAATCGAACCTTCAATCCTTCAGTGTGTGGGCTGACACTCTAACCACTGTACAACACTGGCCAGGGCTGTCTCTTTTCTTATAAGGATACCAGTCTTATTGGATTAGGGCCCTCTCCTATGACCTCATTTAGCCTTAATCACCTCCTTAAGGCCCTATCTCCAAAACAGTCACATTGGGGGTTAAGGCTTCAACATAGGGATTTTGAGGACACATTTCAGTCCATAACATCATGTTTATCCCTGCTTGGTGGTGCTTTGAATGGCTAAGAGAGCGTCTGTTGCTGAGTGATTCTGGGGCATTGGCATTTCTTGTTTATAATTTATTACTAATGAGTTGGAGTCTATCAGCCAATAGAATAAGCATTGGAAGCAGCCGGGGAGGAAGAACTCAGCCAAAGCATGCAGGGCGTGGGCTTTGGCACCTCCCCGACTGACACCTGTGTGACTCAGAGCTTTTTCCCTGCCCTCACTAAGCCCCTGGTCTTCATCTAAACAACCTCCCCTGAGAGGCAGATGCTGTCGCTGCCCTCATTTAATGCTCAGAGAGTTTGAGTCACTGGCCCAGGTGACAGCTCTAGCAAGGCCAAAATTGAGAAGAGGTTCAGTCCAGGTGAGTTAGCTCCATGGTTCTTAGTTGGGGGTGATTGTGCTCCCAGCAGACATTTGTCAATGTCCAGAGACACTCTTCGTTGTAAAGATGGTGGAGGTTGGGGACTGTGTGCTGCTACTGGAATCTCATGGGTGGAGACCAGGGGTTCGACTAAACATCTTACAAAGCACAGGACAACCCCACAGCAAAAGAACTTTATAGTCCAAAATGTCAGCAGTGCTGAGGGTGAGAAACCCTGTTAGCTCCTAGTCCTCCATGCTTGACTACTACCTGTATTATTCCAAGGTGACCACACCAAGCCCTAGGCCCTACCCATAGTAACTAAGGAAAAGAAGACAAGTGACTGAATGTCTACATCAGAGGCAGGTTCTAGGTCCCCAATATAGGTTTGAAAATTGCCCTAACCGGTTTGGCTCAGTGGATAGTGCATTGGCCCGCAGACTGAAAGGTCCCAGGTTTGATTCCAGTCAAGGGCATGTACCTTGGTTGCGGGCACATACCCAGTGGGAGGTGTGCAGGAGGCAGCTGATCGATGTTTCTCTCCCATCGACGTTTCTAACTCTCTATCCCTCTCCTTTCCTCTCTGTAAAAAATCAATAAAATATATTAAAAAAAAAAAAAGAAAGAAAGAAAATAGTTTTTGTTGGGTAGAAGGAGGTAGTGATGGTGTCATTGGCATTCCTTTGGGGAAGGAGGAAGAGGTATGGAAGAGCAATTGAATGGTGACTCTCAGAAGCGACCACTAGATGGTGCTACTGCTTCAAGATGAATGTGAGTTGTCTCTCCCTAAGTCAGTGGTTCTCAACCTTCTGGCCCTTTAAATACAGTTCCTCATGGTGTGACCCAACCATAAAATTATTTTCGTTGCTACTTCATAACTGTAATGTTGCTACTGTTATGAATCGTAGTGTAAATATCTGATATGCAGGATGGTCTTAGGCGACCCCCGTGAAAGAGTTGTTCGACTGCCAAAGGGGTCGAGACCCACAGGTTCTCAACTTTTGTTAAACTGGACATGAATTGTGTGGTTTCTGAGAGTTCCGAGAGGGCAAGACCCAGCTCGGTGGTGCAGGCCCTGGGCTCAGACCCAACTAGGCCCCAGGCTGGTTCTGCCATAAATTCCCCCAGTGTGCTCCGGGGAGTGAACTCTCCAAGCTGCAGTGGAAATTATCCTAGTTACTGAACCTGTGGGTCGCGACCCCTGAAAATTCATCCTGCATGTCAGATATTTACATTACTATTCATAACAGTAGCAAAATTACAGTTATGAAGTAGCAACGAAAATAATTTTATGGTTGGGGGTCACCACAACATGAGGAACTGTATTAAAGGGTCGAGGCATTAGGAAGGTTGAGAACCGCTGTTCCTAGTACTTGGGAAAGGGAGTGGCTTGAGGATTAAGTTTGATAGTGTGTTTTCAGAGCATAGTACTGGGTCTGGCAGATAGATGGAAGTGTCTGGAAGGGTTGGTTTTATTATGAAATCTAGCATTCCCTCCAAATGTCTGTTCTGTGGTGACCCTTTCTAAGCCCGGGCTACTCATTAAAGATAGGAGTTGGGACAATTAAAATTCTGGGGTTCCTGGATTAGATAACTTTTCATGTACTGTGTCTAAAAAGGGTGCCCTGCTATAAGAAACCCAGGCAGATGCCACTAGCTTTAGGGGAAATTCACCAGAGTACTTATAAGCCTGCCAAAATGGAGAAGTCACTTACTTTGTATAGAACTTGGATTTATGTGGGTAAGAAGATAGATGACTTTTGCTTTTATTTTTATTTTCTAATTATGGAAAGAAAATGTCATTATTATAAAGCAACAACCAAAAAAAAAAAAAATCAACTATTACAGCCTAGCCAGTGTGGCTCAGTGGTTGAGGGTCACGGTTCAATTCCTGGTCAGGTCACATGCCTGAGTTGTAGGCTTGATCCCCAGTGGGGGGCATGCAGGAAGCAGCCAGCCAATTGATGATTCTCTCTCATCATTGATGTTTCTATCTCTCTCCCTCTCCCTTCCTCTCTCTGAAATCAATAAAAACATATATATTTTAAAAAATCAAACATTACAAAATATAGAAAGCAATAGTTCTGTAGAATCTCACCCTACAGTTCAGTCAGATACCATTTTGCTGTTTGTTTTACTTTTCCCTAACCTACCAGTTATCTTAGACCTTCTGATTGCCTGTTCATGCAACCTTACATAGTTTAGTTCAAGAGCTGCATTTGCTGGGCCATAACTTATTTAACTTGACCATGGGCATTTAGGTGTTTTCCGGATTTTCACTATTACAAGCAGCCATATCACAAGGGCACCTGTTGGCTGCTGATTTTGGTGACCTAAGTGACAGAAGGCTGAGAGACTGAGATTACTTATAGACTCCTGGGTTTATTATGAAAGGATACCACAGAAAGTCAGCCCCACAGTGAGGGGGTAGGAGAAAAATTCCAGCCGAATAATAGAGGCCCTTCCGCTGCCCCCAGGGTGGTCCCCACCACCCACAGAGTCATTTTGTGGAGGCCCTGGAAAAGTCCCTGCTGTAATGATTGGAGCATGTGGCTTTTCCACCTTGAGAATGCAGCCCAGAGGCTCACGTTGCAAGGCTGAAGCTACCAGCATTGGTGTCTGCACCTCTGGTGGCCCGGAAGCCACTAACCAGTCACAACGAAGCTCACCATGACATCTCAACTGTCCCTTCTCCTGCCAGCTCATTTGTCCCCATCTATAGCCAGAATGACAGAATGAAAAAGAAGCACTCTGGCCATTAGTATCACCTGGACTGCTTGTCAAGCTTCTAGGCAGGTAGATTGCAAACTGTTCAAAGCATGGAATACTTTGCAAAAGGAAAAAAAAGAATGAACTCTTACCACTAGGTGCAGCAACATGGATAATTCTCAGATATGATGAAAGATGCCAGACAAGAAGCGTGCATATTGTGATTCCATATCTATGAAGTTCAAGAACAGGCAAAGCCAGTTAATGATGGAAGTCAGACTAGGGGTTGTCTTTAGAGAGGGGGTAATGACTGGACAAGGTCATGGGGAGCCTTCTGGGGAGCTGGACATATGCTATGTCTGGTCTGGGTGGTGCTTATGGTGTCTATATTTGCAAAAATTCATCAAGCTAGACAGACACCTAAGATTTGTGAAGTGTATATATGTATCAGTTCACAGGTACATGTACTTAACATTCCTATATATGTGCATTTCCACATATATCAAGCCGTACAGTCAAGATTTGTGGAATGTGTACCTCATTTTTAAACACAGATTCTTGGGCCCTCATCCCAGACACTGCCTCCTCTCTTGGAGCAGATGCCAATATCTACCTCAGTTATTGTTCTGATCAAGAAATTTTGAAAACCATTCTAAGATTACAGACTTCATGGCCTGTCTGTGAGCCAGAATACCCATTGTGTATTGAGTGCAGTGGCTTTTCTGGAGAGCTGGCTTCTGAGGAGGACCCAGCTGTGGCCCCTGCCATAGCCCCTGCCATAGCCTCTGCCATAGCCTCTCATGGCCCTGGGCTCCTGGCTGGCCCTTTATATTGTGTTTGGTGATTCCAAATAGTCATTTCAGTAATTCTTTGGCCTAAGTTATGTATCTCTTTGGCACCAAATAACTTAATGGTTTATTTTCGATTCACCCAAGAGCAACTGTTCAGTCCTGGGAATATGGTGGTAGAGACTATGAATCTCCAAATGAAATAATAAGTAATGGCAGCTAACATTATTGAGTGCTTACTTTGTGTCTCTCACTGTTCTTAGTGATTTCTGTGTATTATCTTTAATTCTCAGAACAGCCCCGTGAGGAAGGCATTGTTATTTTAGCTTTCAAACAAGAAGACTGGGGAGTGGTGAGGGTAAGTGGTTTGCTCAAGGTCACCCAGCTAGGATGTGGCAGAGGCAGTGCGGACCCAAGTCCATGTTTAACCCAGTGTCTCACACACGAGATGGTGGGAAGCCCTGTGGGGTTTCTTAACGCGGAGTCCCGGGCCTACCCCCAGAGATGTGAGTGGGGTCAGGAATGGGCCCAGGATCCAGCATGTCTGACTAGCTCCAGGTGATGCCGTGCTGCTGCTCCGAGGACCACACTCTGAATCACTCCACTCTCCTGTCTTGTGTGTCTGCCTGTAGGTGCAGGTGTTGATGGTGCTCTGCCTTTAACCATTTGTGGGGAAGCAGCTGGGGTGGTGCAGAGCTCACAAGCTGGCAGTCCAGAGGACAGACAGGATACAGCAGAGCCTGCTTTGAAGGGTGGCTGGTGAGGACTTAGAGGAGGGCCCAATGCCAAGGTCATGAACTAGGGGCCCATAGGCCACAGCTGGTCTACAGACTTATGTTTTCAGGCCAGCACAGCTTTAAAAACTAGCCAGTCTAGTGGCCAACATTGCAAATTCAGGAGATGCAGCATTAAAATCTGTGTTACCCAGCTTCCTTTGCATCATGGGAAGCTCTCACCATGCTGAACCTGCATTTCTGAAGGGGCCAGGGACAGGGAGCTTCGAGGGAGTAGCCGTTCTTCCGTTGGCCCCGGTGCCTCCAGGCCCTCATCATTGTTGACCCCCATTAGTGATGATATTAACACAGGCTTTGACATGGGACCTTGCTTCCAGTTCCATTTCTGTTTCTTGGGGCAAATTAATCAACCTCTCTGAGCTTTTTTTTTTTTTTACTCATCTGCAAAATGGGAAGAATGAGGCCTACTCTGCAGTATCGTTGTGACAGTTATAGTGTAAAGCATTCAGCCTAGTGCTAGGCATGTAGTGGAGGTTATGAAAAGCTATAAAAACTATATAGGGAGAAAAAAACCATGTGTGTGAGGCCCTTTGTGGCATTCAGGAATGATGGGGTGACTTTTGGTGGCAAAATGGGGAAACTTTTTATATAATACAGTGCTTTTTACCCTCATCCGTGGGTTGATTGTGAAATGCCCACGCACCAACTCATTTGTCCCACTCCCAGCTCGGTGTTGAGTTGTGCCAGCAATGAAGAAAATGTTCAAGGGTTCTTTTCTGCTTGGTGTGGGAGGGTGGGGTACCCCGGGCTTTTCTCTGGCATTGCTTTTGAACTTTCTGGTGACTATGCATAGTGGCTGATTTCTTTGTGGCTAAAGGTTAAGCTGCTCCCTGTTAGCTTGTTTAACCCCACCCACCCAGAAGGTTGACTGGTTTGTGTATATTCATATGGTCATCTGCTTGTTACCTTTCTCTACTTGTCTATCCTCCAGCACGAATTAACCTGTTCTTTTGTTTTGTTTTTCTCCCTCTAGATTATTTGCTCTCTAATAATTATGTAAATTCTATCATTGTACATAAGTTTGACTTTTCCGATGAAGAGATTATGGCATATTATATATCGTTCCTGAAAACACTTTCATTAAAACTCAACAACCACACTGTCCATTTTTTTTACAATGAGGTAAGTGACTGCCGGGGAGGTGCATTTGGATGCAAAGCCAGCTGGTCAGAGCAGCACCTTCTGTCCGGGTGGCCTCCTGTCTGTTTACAAAGCACTTATGTGCTTGTTCTTTCTGATTTTCATAGCAACACTGCTTGGCCTTGGCATGCTTACTTTTTTTAATTTAATAAGTTACCTTTCCATTTCTTATATAAAATTCAATTATTGCAAACTGAGAGCGGTATACCTGGCAGGGAGAAGTGCGTGGAAGTTTATTTGGGGGTCGTGTTACCCTGGGGGGAAAACAGGAAGTCCAGTCAGACCCACTTTCACCACTTCCCTGCTGTGTGACCTTAGAGAAGTCCCAGTGCTCTAAGCCTCAGTTTCTTCCTCTAAGAGATGGGGATGGTAATATATCCCTTGTAGGGTTTTTACAGGGATTGAATTAAATGAGATGATGCCCACAAAGCACCTAATATGTACCTGGCTCCCTAAAGTCATAGCTATTCTTTTAAAGGTATATAGATTTTTTTTATTGATTTCAGAGAGAGAGCGAGAGAGAAACATCAATATGAGAGAGAATCACCGACCAGCTGCCTCCTGTACGCTCCCTACTTGGGAATCGAGCCCGCAACCCGGTCATGTACCCTGACTGGGAATCTAATCATCATCTCCTGGTTCATAGGTTGATGCTCAACCACTGAGCCACACCAGCCGTGTGTTATTGCTATCCTTTAGAAGTTAACATCCCTAGTAATCCTTGGGAGAATTACTACACATTTAAATAAATAAATTGCTATTGTTCCCACAATTAAAAGTAGCTTGAACAATAAAGCCAGTTTATCTTATACCAAAAGTTACAGATGCCAGCTGTCCTGAGGCTGGTCCATCCTGTGGCTAACCCAGCCGTGGGCAAACTACGGCCCTCGGGCCGGATCCGGCCCGTTTGAAATGAATAAAACTAAAAAAAAAAAAAAGACCGTACCCTTTTATGTAATGATGCTTACTTTGAATTTATATTAGTTCACACAAACACTCCATCCATGCTTTTGTTCCTGCCCTCCGGTCCAGTTTAAGAACCCATTGTGGCCCTCGAGTCAAAAAGTTTGCCCACCCCTGGGCTAACCCCTTCATCAAGGACCAGGCTTTTCCATCTTCCTGCTCTGCTGACCATACAGTTGGCATCTTTCGTCAGGCATGGCCCTCATGATCTCAGTACGGCTGCAGCAGCTCCAAACCTCACATGCTCACATGCCACTGCTGAAAAGCCTGATGAGATCACTTTCCTTTTTGGTTTCTTTAACTTCCAAAAACCTTCTTTCCCAGAAGCCTCCCAGCAGACTTCCTCTCATGTCTCTCTGGTCAGAATTGTGTCACATTTATCACACAGTATGTCTAGAATTTGGGAGTGGCCTGGCAGAGCATTTCTGGCTTGATATCTCGTGACGCGGCATCATCTGAAGGCTGGATTAGGGTTGGAATTTCTGTTTCCCAGGTGGCTTGCTCATATGGCTGGCCAGTTGGTGCTGGCTTCCCCTAGAATGAATGATCCAAGAGACCAAGGCAAGCTGGAATACATTTTATGACCCAGCCTCAGAGGCCACACACCATCACTTTTGCCTTATTCTTTAGGCCACAAAGAGAGCCTGATTCAGTGTAGGAGAGGACGACAGAAGTGTGTGGATACAGGAGGTGAGGATCATTGGGCCATCTTGGAGGCCAGCTATCACACAACCACTTGCTGTTTGCATGGCAGGTGTCTTCTGATCGGTGGTTACATATGCTGTGAAGCCTCGAATCTAAAATCAGATCATAGTCCCAAACATATCCTTTGAGTTTGAGCAGAGTCCATCTAGCTATTTCCATATGATGCAGCAACAGTGGCCTGAACCTTGGTTTTGTTTGTCTGGATTGGTAGTGGGGAAGAGCTGGCTGCAAAGGGAAGAATACTAGCTGCCAATCACAAAAAACTGTGGCAATTTGAAAAATCAACATTGTGTGGCCTTGCCACATAGTAGGTGCTCAATAAACATGTTTAGAGACCACTTAGATGACATTAGCATTTTCTGAGGGGCTCTTCCAGGTGGAAGAAAACCCACCTGCTAAGTTCAGATCAGAGAGAGAAACACTATCCCTCCACTCAGGTGCACCTGGGCTTCTGTGCATCCAGCTAAGAGGGCAGGACGCTGGGATTCTGGGGCCAGAGTGATGCTTCTGGAAGAAGATCCTGCTGGTCACCAGAGGAGTGGTGGGAGCCTCACTGTTGAGGTGGGCTTGGTTTCCTCTTTCATGTGGGCCAGTACAGTTGCTACCAAATTGTTAAGTGCACACTTGACTTCGGGTGCTCAAAGTCGTGTTTTCTTAATAGACAGTGGTGGTGGCTGGAGGTGGCCTCGTCCCCACTCCCTTACTGCCATGAGTGCTCCTCGGCTCTGGAGCCTGTGGGAAAACTGGCCAGGAGACGGCAGCCGAGTACGCCAGCTTTCTCTTCTAGGCCCTCTTCAGGGGAGTTTTGTGGTTCTGAACTGTTTGTCTGTTCTGATGATCCCTTTTTAATGACAGACTATTCCTAAGACCCTCCTCCACCATGATATTGTATACACTTTTAGTATTTCCAAATGGAGGAATATATAATAGGCAAGAGAGATTCTGGATGTAGTAAAACTTGACATTTGCTTTTTTTTTTTTTTAGCAGCATCTAATAATAACCAGCATTACTACTGAGTACTTATTAGGTATCAGGTGCTGGAGTTAGCATTGTGTTGGAAGTAACCTCATTTATTCCTGGCAGTTATGAAGTGGGAATTATTATCCCCATTTTCTAGATGAAGAAATAGAGGCTTAGAAATATTACATCACACAGCTAAGAAGTGGTAGGACAGATCATTAGCCTGGGTCTGGACTGTTTTCTATTCCATGATCTCCCTTCTCCATTCCTTCCGACATTCCCCATTGGGAGTGAACCACCGGCTTAACGTCCATGTTGGTAATATTTTTGGGGGGTCTTTGACTGATGTCTGTGATAGGATTCAGAAAGCTGGGGTGGGGGCAGGCCTGTCTTATGGGTTTGTAACTCCTTTTTGGTACTTCTTTTGTTTTAGCACACTAATGACTTTGCCCTGTACACAGAAGCCATCAAATTTTTCAATCACCCTGAAAGCATGGTTAGAATTGCTGTAAGAACCATCACGTTGAACGTCTACAAAGGTAAGTTTTCCTTAAGATTTCTGCCTTGCAGCTAGTGCTCCCTCTCAGGAGCTCATTTACTGTAGCTGTGGGTGCTTGTCTCACAAAGGGCTTGTAGGCATTGGACATTTAGCTGGCCCCTTACAGGAATTTTGTACCACTGTCTTTTCCCTGCATACTCAGTTTTGTCCCTTATTCCAGTGTCATGTAAGTTATCTTAGTGCTAACACAGAAGTAGTAGTGTTCTAAGAGAGGCACATGTGGGACTTGGCGTGGTCATGTGATAATTAGATAAAGCAGAGTTATCTTTTAAATGTTAGATTTAAATTTTTCTGTTTTGGCCTATAAAATATCTTCCAGGGGGTATGTTATCTTTAAATCATGTATAAAAGCATTTCACATCATGAACAGCAGGGGGCAATATTGTATTCTCAGCCTGTTGCAAAGCCCTCCTTTCTTTCAAGATGAACTTAATACCCAAATCATTGCCTCCTGGAGAAAGGCTACCACAGCTCCCTGCCCACACCAGCACCAAGGCTGGCTGCACACAAATCCCCTCTCCCTCCCCCACCTGGAATTGACCCTCAGGGTAATACCTTCTGGTTAGTTTCCCTGTAATCACCACACTGAAGCTGGGACTGTTTCTCAGGGACCAAAGGGCTTTGGCCTTCACAAATTCACATGTTGTTACTTGAGATGACCCCTAATTGGGAGGGGCAAGAGCTCCTCAGGGACTCACTCCAGCCTAGCTCTGGGATTGTGTTAAACTGAAGAGCCTTTCTAAGAGCTCAGTGGGGCCTATCCAGAGGTTGAAATCTGAGGGCCTGGTTAGATGAATCCAGTCCTCAGACAATTTTTAATTGGCTTAGATATTTTTTGAAAAATTATATCGTTGTCAGTATTTTTTTTTAATCCTCACCCGAGGATATTTTTTCCATTGATTTTCAGACACAGTTAAAAGGAGGGGTGGGAGGGGAGGGGCGGGAGAGAGAGAAACATTGAATGTGAGAGAGACACATCGATTGGTTGCCTCCTGTATGGGCCTTGACTGGGGCCGGGGATCAAACCTGCAACCCAGATACATGCCCTGTGACCCTTCAGTGCATATTGAACCTGTGACCCTTCGGTGTGTAGGCCGACACTCTAACCATTGAGCACACCAGCCAGGACTATAGTTGCCAGTATTTAAAAATTAGAAGATCTTGGGTAATAATCTGGATTTTGGACTTAAAAATGCAGATTTGGCTATTCTGGGCTCACAGTCCTGCAGGATGGTGGTGAACCTGTGCTGAGGAGCAGTTGCCCCCTTTGCAATTATGCTCCCCAGTTCACTGGCCAGGCCTGCTGGCTTCACTCACTGAGTCGTCTGCCAGCCTGGCTTCTGAGTTTGCGACCTGCTCCAGGCTGCAATTCTGCTGCCTCCTGTTACCTGTTTTCTCTTGTTCTCTTCTAACCTGTGTCTTTTAGTTTAGATGCCTCCTGCCCTAGCTCTCTCCCTCTGAGCAGCTGTCTCACCATCCCAGTTCCTAACCCTGTTAACCGTTGTCTGTTTTTTGCCTTTCCTTCAATGACGAGTCCCGTGTTCCTTATTCCAGTGTCATGTAAGTTATTAACCTCTGATTTTTCGCTTTCTTAACTTATCATTACATGTATACACAGGAAACTTGCTTAAGAATGTAGCTTTCATTGTAGTCTAGCTAAACACACCACTGATAAGTAGGCTTTCTAATGCACTATTAAAGTTGAACTCAATTAATTAATTTTATTAATCATAAAAATAGCATAAGAACTGCCTTGATAAGTATAGTTTTATGAATAAAATAACCATTTTCAAGTATTTTCAGGGAAAACAGAAAAGATTCAGATAATAGTAGCTGACTTTTTTTATTATGGTTTCTTTTTTTTTAAATCTCCCCCAAGTTATTTTTGGTAGCTTGACTCTTTTTTTCTCTTCTTTTGTGAATTTTCCCAGTGGATAACCAGGCCATGCTACATTATATCAGAGATAAAACTGCTGTCCCTTACTTCTCCAATTTGGTCTGGTTCATCGGGAGCCACGTGATCGAACTTGATAACTGTGTGCAGACTGATGAGGAGTAAGTGACCTCGTGGGGTACTTGTTAGGTAGACAGAGTGATTAGGGGAGAATTTCCTTTTTATCGAGGAAAAATAAACATTAGAACAAAACTTACTCGCTTATGTGTAGGCATGATATGGACTTACATACTCTGAAAGGTTCCACCCACCTATCTACTTTTTATAATAGTGGGAAACTGGAGACAACTCAGATACCTTCCAGAGAGAATGAGGGTTAGTAAATTCAGTACACCTGTAGATGGGGTGATAGGCGGCTGGTAAAAAGACGAAAGTGATCTGTCAGCTGGTGAATGAGTAAACAAAATATATTTGCATACAATGGAATAGTATTCGGCCATAAAAAGGAATGAAGCGCTCATACGTGCTGCACCATGGATGAACCTGAAATGCATTGTGCTCAGTGAAAGAAGCCAGACACAAAGGACCACGTATTATATGATTGCATTTATATGAAATGTCCAGAATAGGCAAATCCATAGAGACAGAGAGTAGATTAGTGTTCTGTAGGACTGGAGGGGGGGCGGTTATGGGGGAAATGGGAAGTAACTGGCTCTAAGTATAGGTCTTTTTTGAGGGGAAGGGATAAAAAAGTTCTAAAATTGATTGTGATGACGCTTAGATAACTCTACAAATACACTATACCCATTAAATTTTGTGATTTAAATGGGCAAATTTTACAGTATGTGAATTATATCTCAATATATCTGTGGGGTTTACTTTTGTTTTTGTCTTTTTAAAAAGATGAAGATGGTAATTTGGGCCCTAGAGTAATGAATAGAAATTTCCAGAGAAAGATTTCTCCAACCGGCACTCTTGGTCTCTTGAACTAACTAATTTTCTGTTGTGGGGCTGTCCTGTGCATTGTAAACTGTTCAGCAGCATCCGTGACCTTTACCCACTAGATGCCAGTAGCACTCCTTTTGCAGTTGTGACAATGAAACATGCCTCCAGACATTGCCAAATGTCTCCTTTAAGATTGCCGTCAGTTGAGAACCACTGTCCCAGAGTGACAGCTTTGCACAGACTTGTGATAGTCACACCCAGAAGGGCTCAGGATGATAAAGGGACTCTGGAAGGAGGTTCCCTAGGGGGAGGGGACTAGAGAGAGAGCATATTAGATCTCATGTTGACAAAGAAGCAAGAAGGGGTGGGAGCGGCCTGGGAGAGGTCAATGGGGGGAAAAGGTGACATATGTAATACTTTAAACAATAAAGAATTTAAATTAAAATTTAAAAAAAAAGCAAGGAAAGGTAGATGGCAAATCTGATGGAGCAATTTCATATGGATTTGAGCAGGTGTAGATATGAAACATAAGGAGGCAGTTAACTCCAGAGAGAAGAACAGGTTATACAAGAAAGGACATGAACCCCTAGTCCTCTGTTTGTCTCTGCAGTGAATGGCTATGATAATGTCAACATCAGTTGTTAATGACTATTGGGGGGAAGGAGTGGAAGGAGCACAGAGGGTTCTGTCATAACATAATACATAACATAATGCGGCTCAGTCACAAAATAGAGGTTCTCGCCGATTTTACCACAGAAACAACTAAAAGTTAAAAACCACCTCCTGTGGAGAGTGGGCAGGGGTGGGGGAGGTTGGTCCAGGAGCTGCTATTTTTTTTTTCTTATCAGCTTATCAGTACTATTTGATTTTTAAACTCATCTGCATATATTGCTATGATAAGAGTTTTTTAAAGTAAAGGTTTAAAAAGTAAAGTGCATTAGATATCCTGTGGGAGAAAAATTTCCACAGTATCTTAAGTGGGGTAAAGCTTGTGAAAGGTGTATGAATGTTCTAGGTCTCAGGTGGGTTGTGGTCCATAGGTACTCATTACACCAGTGGTTCTCAACCTTCTGGCCCTTTAAATACAGTTCCTCATGTTGTGACCCAACCATAAAATTATTTTCGTTGCTACTTCATAACTGTAATGTTGCTATTGTTATGAATCGTAATGTAAATGTCTGATATGCAGGATGGTCTTAGGCGACCCCTGTGAAAGGGTCGTTCGACCGCCAATGGGGTCGCGACCCACAGGTTGAGAACCACTGCATTACACGATTAGGCTTTACAACATGTATTTGCCATAAATACTTACTACATATCGTATTCAAGTATAATAAAGGATGATTATCCAAAGATATATAAAAGAAGCAAAATTGATCCCGATTTTAAAGTAGAGATGACTGGATGGATAGATATATAACACCTGCATCTTAGGTGAGACTGTGGGGAGATAGAAATGTGGAAAAACGGAATGTAGGGACACAAGTCCAAAAATATCTTCTGTTAGTGGTGGAGCTAGAGGAGACTTTGCTTTATTTTATTTTATTTTATTTTATTTTATTTTATTTTATTTTCTTCTTCAATTTTCTGTCTTCTAAAATGTCCATCTATTACTTGAGTAATACCCATAATACAAACAAAATGTCTTACCCTATCTAGATTACTTTTTGTAAGAGATACCACTTTGGGGGTGGGGAAAATGAGCCCACCAGCTATTTTAGGGGCTCTGCATCCTTTGTGAGGTTGACACTGACTCACCCATGGGGCCAACCAGCATGCTATTGGCTCACTACAAGGAGATAGAGACCCGCTGGGGCCTGAGGTAGGATGTCATGTCTTTGCGCTCTGTCCCACATAAGGTCAGGGCCAGTGGGTCCCGCGTAGCTGCTGAGGCCTGCTTTTCTCCTCAGAACTCCTCTAGAGCATTTTAATTAGCAAGGATTTATTGCTCCATTAATACTGCTTATCTTGGGAGCAAGGGGATCTTGCCACATTGGCTAGTGGCTCCTCTTGTGAAATGGCTTGCCAAGAGCTTAGCTGTTTCTTTGCTTTGTTTATCCATCTTTTTTTGTGGTTGTGGTGGTGGCTGGGGGTGGGGGTGAGTTATACTGGGGCCCCCAGAGGGTGGGGTACCCCAGGAGTCCCCTAAAATCAATACATTAGAGTGGCCTAGGTCCTTTTCCCTTTTGGTCCCCCACTGGTAGGGCAGGATAGATGTTTCTTGAAACTAATTCAGATATTTGCTGTATGAATGAGTGCACCAGTGACCTAAGTCTCAGGCCATTGGTCTAGGTCCAAGGGCTCTGAGCTTTGGATTCCAGACTGAGGTGGTCATTTTTATTGGCAGGCACCGGAATCGAGGAAAACTGAGTGACCTGGTGGCTGAGCACCTGGACCACCTGCACTATCTTAATGACATCCTGATCATCAACTGTGAGTTCCTCAATGACGTGCTCACGGACCACCTGCTCAACAGACTCTTCCTGCCCCTCTACGTGTACTCACTGGAGAACCAGGACAAGGTGGGTCTGGGGGCCTGGCCCCATTGCTCTTGCGGGCTGAAGGTCTTCAGAAGGAGGGAAGGACAGTCACCTTGAATAGGGCTGAGCTTTGCAAGGGGCCACAGCTTTGAGCCTGCGAGCGATTCCTTTCAAAGCACACTGGTTTTCTTTTCCTTTCCTCTTATTTCCTGGAAGTAGGGGGAGAGGGGAGGGCGAAGGAGAAAGGAGCGGGCCAGGAGTGTGTGTGTGAAGGGGGTAGATTGTAAAAACTGTAAAAGTGAATGAGAAAAGAATACTGACATCAGAATGAAACAGGAAACCTCTATGAATTTAGGTTTTTGGCTTCTCTGCATCTTTCTTTTGAGGTGTTCTCATTCTTGGTAAGTTTTTCTGGTAGTTGCCAGGGTTAATTGATTTGGAAAAGATCCATCCAGCCACAAAACTTGCACAAAATGGACATGAAGGGATGGAATGCACTTGAAAAGCTTCCAGGGCAATGACTGTCCCCAGTTAACAGGCTCAGAGTTCCTCGTGGGGAGAATGCCTGCTTTTCTTAAAAGTGCACATCCTCAGGTGTCCTCCCCTTTTCAGGGATGCTGGTCCATTGGGTCTGGGATGGGCCAGAAATCTCCATATTTAACCTGCCCCCTCCCGCCCCCAGGAAATTCTGAGCTGGTAGTTCTCTGCTTCCCCCATGAGAAATGCTGCTTCGGGGAGTGGAGGCCTTCTGCCCAGTCCCTCCCAGAGTTAAGGGGCAGAGGCCTCAGCAGGAGGTGGGACAGAGCCAGATGTGTCTCACAGGGGTGTAGCTTTCTTTCTGGAGGTAGAAGATGGAGATTCTTACTAAAAATAAGTAAACGGAAGAAAATTGCAACCCTAACCAAGTCTAGCAGAGGGAGCTCTGGGGGGCAGACAGAAAGCATGGGAAGTGGCTTTTTCAGACCTGGGTTTAAATTCTATCTCTTCCCTTTTCTTACTCTTGACCTTGGGCACGGCAGTTAACCTCCCTGAGCAAAACCAGGGTCCTGAAGATCTCTCAGGGTTGGTGTGAGCTGGAGCTCGGTGAGGCTCAGTGCAAAGGAGAGGCTTTTCAGAGGCTATAGTACCGCAGTCTCCCTGCCCCATTTTAAAAGCTCTTCCTGAGAATAGGCCCCTGGGGAGGAGGGGGGGTTTTCCTGGCAGGCCGGGACTTGGGCTCTCCATGTCCCAGCTGGGAAAAATTAACATTCTTGGTAATTTAAGGAGCCAATTCTTCTTTTGGCTCCAAACTCTAATCCGTGACTAATGATGAAAGATTTCTCAGGTGGAAAAATCATAGCCTTGCAAATGGTATTGAATGGGATTTGGTGGTGAATTTCTTTTGCAGAGTGGACTTTTGACTAGCTAGCGCCAGGCCAGAATAACTCAAGGTCCGGGAGGAAATTAGGGGACAGGGTGCCTCTTCTCCAGACAGATGGCTTTTGGCTGCATGTATTTTGTGCTATTCACTTGTGTGACCTGGGCTTCTCCCTCTTTCTTTCCCCTCAACGTTCAAGGGAGGAGAACGGCCCAAAATCAGCCTGCCGGTGTCGCTCTATCTTCTGTCGCAGGTATGTTTGATCATGTGCCCATTTCCCCACCACATGAAGGGGACCTTGGAATGCTGCTGCCCCTCAGAAATTTCCCGTCACATTGTCCTATCTTCTCTCTCAGTGTCCCCCATCTTGAAATAAGATAAGAAAATAAATGGGGGTTCTGTTTTCTACACACCGAGTAGAGGTGCCAGTATCTTCTGCATGGTAGTGGATGGAAATTAAACAAGAAATGAAAAATAAATCTAACCTGGCACTTAGGTAGTTGAGTTTTACCATGAGGATTGAGGTTTCCAAAACAACCAAGGAGTGTTCTAAATACCCTGGAAATGTGGACTGTCTGGGTCTTATTCATGGCATTTTGAAATAAGCCCCAAACTGCAGGACTATTGTGTGCATACACACAGCGACCCTGGTTTAATAGACTTCCACTAATGAGGCTGTTTTTAAAGGCTTTTGTCATGGTTCTAGTTCCCAGATTACCTTCTGGAAGGTATCTTGTAGCAGCCTCAGTTCCCAGATTTGCGTCTTAAGCCAAGTTGTCTGCCTCCCCCCCTTAAGTGTGTTTCCTTCTCGTAATTATGTAATATTTACAAGAAGGGAAAAACTCCATGGCGACCCAGTTACATAACTTTAAAAATATTTTTATTACAAGCAGTCCAGACTTTCAGGCCATCTCATTAGACTGTCAAGTAGTCAAACGTTTGACCAGAGCTCTGTTCTCACTTCTGCAAATGGCACAGGCATTTATTTGCTTTGCTGAGAGAATGTCCTTCTAACTTGGTCCCTGGGCCATTTTGAGTTTGAGGTGGGGCTGTCTCCCATTGGCCTGAGGCGAGAGACGCAGACCGAGCCTCCTCCCAGCGACTCAGCTGATCAGGATCTGCAGTGGCCTGCTCACTGTTCACTCCTAGCGTCTTGTTCTGGGGGCTCTGTTTGCTTGGAGCTCTGCACTGCTGCTCGCTCCTTCTGAATGCCCCTCTGTGAAACAGCTCAGTGCAAACCCCAGCCTCTCCTGGAAGCTTTTTCCACCACCTCATTACAAATCCGCCAGCATCTCCGCTTGGGATTCTGGGAGTCTGGCAGGACCCAAGCAGGCCAGATGCTCAGCCACAGGAATCTCACGGAACACACCCGCAGGACGCTTCAGCTGTGGGAGCCTTGCAGGGCAGGGTCTCCTCCAAGGAGTGAGGGGTCAGACCCCCCCCCCTTTACTCTGAGAACCCCTTTCCTCCTGCTTGTTAGTGAAGGACCAGCAGTCAGACACCTAATTACTTGTTTCAGTAACACACAGAAAGCACAGCTTGTAATCTGGTGTACCTCAGCTTCAGTGACAGAGCCCTTCCTCCCCTGCATTTTCATTTAGCTTTATTATAATGTTGCCTAAGTGTGTGAAAACCTCAAAGCAGGTATAAACCCCGTGTTCTTAAGCCTTACATCAGATCATCCTTGCCAGTTATTTTACAAGCACAGCCACAAAACCAAGAAAATTCACATTAACAACATTAATTTAGTATGACAGGATTCTGTCCTGCTGAAACTAAACTGCCACTGGTGAGGAGAGTGTGGTGCAGGTAGGCTGGCCCAGCTTTTCAAGTCTGGCCTGCAAACACTTCCACACACCATGCAGTGACTGGCTCTCCCCTTACTTGTTTTTCTTCATCCAGAGCTCAGGAAGGAATGAGCCTGAGTGGGTCCATAGGTGGGAATCAGTTGACTTTTGTCCAGTGGGCCCTTAGTAGGCACTCACTGAATGTGGATTGACTAAAAGAATAACTAAATGATCATTAAGGTCACGTTCACATAAGGTGCACAGTAGGTATTTGTGGAATGAATGAACTCAGTGATTGGGATTTGTTGTGTAGTTAAGTGTGGCAATAATTTGGCCATGAGAAGGTGAGAAAATTAACCTACCTCATCATCATAATTGCTAGTAGTTGAATGCCTTCCAGAGCCCTGGACATGGGTGAATTCATGTGATCATACTATGTATTCTCTATGATAGTAAACATGTTTTGTGTGAGTGTGTGTGTGTGTGTGTGTGTGTGTGTTTAAGTAAGTAGGTAGGTACTACATTTGGCTATTTTGCCTGTACCTTTAATTTGAATTGTATTTATTTTATTTAACAATATATTCACCCTATTCAAACAATACAAAGTGACATGTAGGGTGGGGTCTCCCTCTGAACCCTGACCCCCCAGGCACCCAGTTCCACTGCCCAGAGGCAGGTGGTGTTTCAGGTTAGTTACAGGGGTTTCCTCTGTCCTTCTAGAAATGTTCTCTACCAAGGGTTCTCAATTGGGAGTGATTGCAAAACCTTTCTCCCCACAGGGGATGTTTGGCAATGTCTGGAGATGTTTTCGGTTGTCATAACTGGGGTGGGGAGTGCTACTGGCACCTAGTGGGTAGAGACCAGAAATGCCGCCAGATAACCTACAATGCGCCGGACAGCCCCCACAATATAGGATTATGGCCTGACAATAGTGCCGAGGTTTGAAACCTTGTTCCATGTATATATAAAAAAACAAATACAAATGTGCTCGCACACACCCTTTTCATATACAAATAGTAGATAACCCTACGCTGTGCTGCACCGGTTTGCCTTTCCATTTTAAAGCAAAGTAGCAGGTGTGTCTGAACGAGCTTTGTGAGGCAGTTTTGAATACTGTGATTCCTAAAGCTGTTCCTCTGAATATTGGGCAACAGGGTGGGGTGGTGGGGCCATCCCAGATGGCCCAGTGCCTTCTGATTTTGCATCCTGGCACAATTCAGTCTATCTCTGGCTCGTGTGGCTTTTCTTCCCCACAGTTTCCACACCTACCCATACTGCCATGAAATTCTGGTGTGCCGAAGCCCACCGCAGGGGCCAGCGCTCATTCCAGTGGTGGATCTCTGTGTAGCTGATCCTTTGCCAAGTCCTTGATTGGAACAAGACTCACCAGCCCCTTCTTCCCGTATAACTAAAGTATTGGGCCGGTGCCTTCTAATCTTTTCATAATCGAATTTGACACTGAAATGCCTGTGGAGAGGAAAGAGTGTGCTGGTTTGGCTGCTCCTTTCCCACTGTGCTTTACTTCAGCGGGATTTGGCCTCACCCAGCCATGAGGGACAGTCTTGCTTTTAATGCATTTCCTTCCGCTGAAGAGCAGCCAGCCAAATAGGCAACAGTCTGAATGAAGGGGGGGAGGGGCAACCCTAAAGGAGAAACATGTAACTCATTTCTCTTGAATGTCACCCATTCTTTGGATTTTGTATCACAGAGATTGCTGCTTAATGCGGGGCTTGTGTAGCCCAGTGTCACTGCAGATCAAGAAAGGAAGATGTTGAAAGACTGCACACTTCAATACAAATCCCATTTCTTCTCTCTCACCAGGTCTTCCTAATTATACATCATGCACCCCTGGTGAACTCGTTAGCTGAAGTCATTCTGAATGGTGATCTGTCTGAGATGTACGCTAAGACTGAACAGGATGTTCAGAGAAGTTGTGTAAGTCATTAGCGTTACGACTGTTTCTAGACCTTGATAAGAAGCCATGGCTCATTTTGTTAACTTGTGTGTTTCTCTAAAACCGGAAACCAACTTTCTGCTTACAGCAACAGTGACGTCTAAACTACTCTGGGATTCAGGGAACCTAATCAGAGTCTTGAGATGAGTACCCAGGAAAATATGGGGGTCTATACCAGGAATAGATTCAGTGATTGTATGTTATTATTATTAATTTTACTTTATTTTTTCAAGAAAAATGATTTTAAATATAATGTTACATGCAATAAACATTAATATTTCAAGAAAAACAATTTTAAATATAATGTTACATGCGTGATTGTATGTTATTGAACATGGAATTATACTGCTTTGGGCCTCAGGTTGTATATCTATGGGACACTGTTATGGGGACAAAATGAGAGAATACCTTGCCTAAGACACAAATAGCTATAGAGGCTGGTCATGGGACATCTGTGAAGAGATAGGCCCCATCTGAGGGCAGTAGGGAGCGTTGGGGACTGTGGCTAATTGGAGAGGGTATGCCTCCTTTGTGAGCAGCTGCTATTCCACCCCAGACTGCAGTCATTCTGCGGGAATATGGATGCAATATTGCTAGGTTTTCTCATGTTTCCAGAGAAGCTGGCAATCTGCATTTTGATACAAAATCTCCCAGGATTTAAATTATCACTCAACTTTGGCCTAAACAGGACATATGTGGTTTGTGCATGTTTGTGCATTTTGTGCTCTGTCAAAGGAAAACACCGGATGACCAGTATAATGACTTCTGAGGCTTTCCCAGCTTAGCTCCTGTGTATCTTGCCTGCCTTCACTTCTCCCCTCCTGCTCATATGTACTGAGCTCCAGGCTACCTTAGTACTGGTCCAGGTTGCTTTTCCCCCAGTGTGCCCATGTTTCTGCTGTTGTACCTGTGTCCTTACCAAACCCAAAATCTGGAAGGCCCTTGCTGCTAGTTCCCTCTTAGCAAAGATCTTACCAGCTTTAAGCAGCTTGTGGCAGGCATCTTGTTTGTCATTATATCTGCTGCAGTGTGGACTGAGCAGACATGTCTGAGATGAGCCTAGAGTGTAGGCACACAGGTAAAAGGCTGGCCTTGCCCTCGGGCAGTCAGCTCTGTTGCCATATCTGAAGGAGTGGGTGGAGGGGGATCCTGTTGCATGAAAGGCCAGAGCTGTATGGTGTACCATTCATTACAAGAGTCCCCTGTCCTTCTGTTTTTTCTGGTGTAGGACTGCTAAGCCAGGCCATTTTTCTTTAAGGGAGCATTTGAGCCTCTTAAAAGGTTCCCAGAAACTTTCTATCCTTATTGGTGGTGGCATTAGTTCAGCTGTATTGAATGGAGCCTTTTCATGGCCCCTGTGTGGCCCGTCCTCTCTTTGATTCACTCCACAAGTGTTTCTTAAGTCTTTTCTTTGGACCTGGCATCATGCTACTTCTGGGGATATACAAAATCCTAAATAGCCTCTGTCACATTGGAGCTTTACAGTACAGTAGGAGAGACAAATGTTGATCAAATATACAAATAACTGTACTATCTTGAGTCGTATAAGTGCTCTAAAGAGGAAGTGTAGTGCTTGGTGAGAGAATTTAACTAGAGATGGTGGGGGTGACAGTGTGGAGCAGAAAACACTCCCCTAATGGTCCTTGTCATGAGAACACATGGTCTAGAAAATGTGGAGCTGACTTGGTGTTTATGAAGCCAGAGATGTTTCTTTGCAGCTTTCCTAAGCTCACTTTTGCAGAATGAATGCAAGTAATGGCGACAGAATCAGTAGGGCTGCTGAGGACCCTGCCAGCCAGCAGGTTACCTTGGGCAAGTTGTTTCATCCCAGACAGGAAACAGGGAGAGCAAGCCCTGCTCCAAAGGGCTCTTGGTGAGGACAGGAGGAAGATACACTTAAAGTGCCATCAGTTCTGCAGGTTGCAACCCAGTCCTCAGAGTTGTTTGGTTTGGTCTTCACAGTGGATAAAAGAAACATTTATGAATTAAGTTTCATTGAAAATTGATTTCAGGATTGTCTTGAACAGTCAGAAAATCTGGTCCTATTGTGCATATGTTTCTGCAGGAAGCTCTCAGAAGCTGCCCCATCACATGAGGCATGTGTTTGCCTTTCAGTTTCCCTAGTCCCCACCCAGTCTGCACTAATTCATACTACATTTACATGAATAACAAGTTAGAATGTATTGGGTCCCTTTGGACTTACTTTTGTCTTGTGATTTCCAGAACCCAAGATAGCTGCTAAGGCTTCATCACAGAATGTCTTCCCATGTGACACTCACTGCTGAGGTTAGACTTGGTTTTCCAAGATAGACCTCAGAGATGGTTGGGGTGCTAGGGTTTGCAGGTGTGTGTGTGTGTGGTGCTAGGGTTTGCAGGTGTGTGTGTGTGTTTAAATAGATTTTAGAGAGAGGATGGGAGAGAAAGAGAGAGAAGCAATCGAGGGATTGAATCTACAACCTGGGCATGTGCCCTGACCGGGAATCGAACCCGCCACCTTTTGGTGTACTGAACGATGCTCCAACCTTTGGTGTACTGAACGATGCTCCAACCTACGGAGCCTCACTGGCTAGGGCTGCAGGGTTTCTTTTTAAATTGAAATTGATTGGCATGCCCTTGTAAGAAATAATAATACCCTTTCCCTAGTTTTCCTCCATTGATAACATCTTGCAAAACTTTAAGTACCGCAAGCAGGATATTGACATTGAGACATGGGGTTTACTGTTTGAGCAAAAGCTAATTGCAGAAAGTTACTGGTGATTTCTCAGCTTGGGATACCCACTGTAGTCAAACCATCTAATCAGAGGGAGAATTGAGGAGATTTGTTATTTTTCCCTATGTCCTCTGCTTGGGATGGAGGTTGTTCCTTCAATGTGATAGAGGCGCAGTGTTCATTGTGGGGGATTCCTAAACTGAAAATGAGATTTTTCTGAGCGTGGAAGGAATTGCCATCCCAAGTGAAAGTGTCAACTTTCTACTTCCGGTTTTTGCCTTTCCCTGGGTGTGAAATCAAAGTTTGTTGTATTCTGATGACATTTGGGAAAAGTGGAGGTAAATCTCATTTATGACTTGTTTGACAATAGTCCTGGTAAGATTTACCTTCCTTCCCTCTGAGCAAGAACAGTCTCCTATTGTTTCCTGCCTAACTCGGATGTGGTTTGGTCATACTTGTTTTAAGTTTCTTGGTCTTTTTTAACCTACTTTCTCCTTCCCGTAATTTGTAGATAAGTTACTGGTATTGCTTCATTTTTACCAGCAGACCTTTCACAAAACCAAACCAAAATTGAAGAGAGAGAAGCAGAGGGAAGAGCAGAGTTATTTGAAAAGTCTGTAATTTAGGGTTAAATTTAAAATACATCAGCATGGTTAGATAAATGTCTAATTGAAATTCATCTGTGCATTAAAATAATATGGTTCCTGCTAAGGGATAATTTCTTGCTATACTTCTAATGCAGAGCAGATAGTGTGTTTCTTGTCAGGGAAATAGAGTAAGAGAACACTAATTCTGAAACTGCTAACATCTCATTATTCTTGGCAATATGAACGTATAGATTAGATTATGGGATATGCCTTATGACCTATAGGTACTTTTTTTCTTCTTCTTTAAGTAGGGACTTTTTTCATCCTGGGTTTCTGTGGGGGTCTATACGAGGAATAGATAGTTCTTGCATTCATTAATTCATTCATTCCTCATCAGAGATTCAAGGGTCCACAAAAAAAAAAAACCCCAAAAAAAGAACACGACCCCTGCCCTCACTGGGCTTCCTATCCCCCATGGGATGTCTTGGAGATGCCTGCATCGCTTATGCCATCATGGGGTTTGCCAGAGAAGCTCAGTGGGCACTCACTGCAGAAATGAATGACTCAGTGGGTGAACTGGTGATGGGCTCACAAGGGCCCTCGTGATGCTCGTAATGACTCTCAGAACAGAAATAGCCTTGGGACCTAACCCTCACATGCCACCTTCTCTTTGCTCACAGGAAGGCTTTGGGGAAGGAGTGTGGGAGTGGGTTGCTGTCGGTGCTGTTCCACATTCCACTGTAAGAGGCAGTCTAGTGGAGTGGATTCTGGAGCCAGACTCCCTGGGCTCCTCGGATGCCAGCACCTCATTTTACTAGTCCAGTGATGGCGAACCTATGACACGCGTGTCAGAGGTGACACACGAACTCATTTTTTTGGTTGATTTTTCTTTGTTCAATGGCATTTAAATATATAAAATAAAAATCAAAAATATAAATCTTTGTTTTACTATGGTTGCAAATATCAAAAAATTTCTATATGCGACACGGCACCAGAGTTAAGTTAGGGTTTTTCAAAATGCTGACACGCCGAGCTCAAAAGGTTCGCCATCACTGCACTAGGTGATCCCTGGGGCAAGTTAGTCCACGTCTCCCAGCTTCAGTTTCCTCACCTCTGCAGTTAGAGTAACAAACATGGATTTTTAGAGAGGATTAAATGCAGCATAAAATGCTTATTCCAAAACCTGGCACACATCAAGACATACATATTAGATGTTATCATTATCATGATCTTAGTTTCTGAGGCTGCAGTACAACCCTGTGTCCCCTACTTGGGACCTTTCTTCTTGGTATGATTAACAGAGGCACACTCAGAGCACCCTTAGGGAGGTGCCTTATGACCAGACACAAAGGCATGGAGGGCCAAGTGTAGCAACAATGACAACATGATGACAGCACTAATAGAAAATGGCCATTTAGTGGCAGTGGTCTGAGCTCTCAGTGTACATTCAGGGCCCTCCGATTCAGCCAGCCTCATACATGATCTCTGGAAAGTGCAAATACTTAACCAATTCATGTGCATTGGCTGGCTATGAATTCAGAAAGGGGAAGAATTCGGGCAAAATTGGCTTGTTTGTCCCAAAGTGAGGATGCTGACTGTCTGTAGACATCATTTCAACCAGTTGTGATGGTCACCAGATGATTCTCCGGGGTCACTAAGGGTTGAGCTTATACCTAGAACGTTA